TCTTGCGCTATTTCCTAGCACAAACCCATGACGGCCTTGTGGAGCTTCGAGAGCTGACCTCAGCGCCAACGAGGGGACTAAACGAGAAAAAGTATCCCAGCCTGATCCTCAACACCATGTCGCACAGTGTCTACTGGCTCACCCGATTCCACTACGCCTCGTCATGGAAAGGGTATCTGTAATTCCATATCTGCTCGCCTCGGACAATGTTGTCCGCTGTCAATTCCATGGGGCAAGAAGCGGCCTGCTCACATACATATATGAAGGAACCCGTCGCCCCAAATCCGAGCCTGCCTGTGTAAACGATACCTTCCTTTTTCCTTCAAGTTCAACTTTTCTCTCTCCTTCAACTTGCAGTCGACTGGACTATCCGCCAGCATGTCTCAAGCCCAGGAGCAATTTCCTAAGCACCAGCCTCTCCTCACGGAGGTGTCGGAGAAGTTGGCGGCTGCTCGCAACCTCGTTCAGAAGTCCCTTGCGGCAGTCCCACCGCACCCTGAGCCAGTTCCAGGTACCGCTGCGCAGCAGCCTGTACCGACACATCTTTTGCAAGATGTCAAGAAACTCGGCTTCCAGGACTTCGAGACTTTGGCCGAATTCGGCATCACTGCTGTGCAAGGCAGGATCAACGACAATGATTTGCTCTTGGAGCACGTCATCCAGCTTTTCGCCAAGTTGCCTCGCGGCACCATCAATGGCAAGAAACTCGAGTATGGCTTGATCAACCAGCTTTGGGATGGTATCGACCATCCGCCTATGACAACTCTCGACGAGAAGTTCAAGTATCGCGCAGCCGACGGCTCCAACAACAACATCCACAGCCCGGCCATGGGCGCAGCTGGCACAGCATATGCTCGGTCAGCTCCGCCAATCACCTATCAAACCCCCAATCAGCCAGATCCCAGCCTTCTGTTCGATATGCTCTTTGCTAGAGGCGAGGAATTCAAGCCTCACCCCAACAAAATCTCAAGCTTCCTCTTCTACTTGGCTACCATCATCACTCATGATATCTTCCAAACCGTGAGACAATACCCCTCGCGCTGGTGAAACTCGGGTTGCTAATCGAAGACACCATAGGACGGCCTCAGTGGTATCAACAAGACATCCTCCTACCTCGACCTTTCTCCTCTCTATGGTCGCAACCAAGAGGAGCAGGATCAAGTTAGGACAAAGCTGGATGGCAGACTCAAGCCTGACTCATTCTCTTCCAAGAGAGTCCTTGGTTTCCCTCCCGGCGTCGGTGTTCTTCTGATGATGTTCAACCGCTTCCACAATTATATCGTTACACAGCTTGCAAGGTTGGATAGTCCATCCCGAAATTCGATCTATACTAATGGAAATTAGCATCAATGAAAACAACCGATTCAACAGACCTCCTGGCGATGCCATCGATCCCGAGGCTGAGGCCCCCAAAAAGCCAACGGAGCCGGAGGAAGCCGTTCCAGTCGGTCACCCAAGATACCTGGACTGGATTGAATCCCCAGCCTACAAGGAATATACGAGCACCCCCGAGTACAAGGAATGGACCAGTTGGACTGCTTGGGTCAAATTTGACAACGACCTTTTCCAAACAGCGCGTCTCATCACTTGCGGTCTCTACGTCAGCATCGTCCTTCGCGACTACGTTCGTACCATCTTGAACATGAACCGCTCGCCTTCTAGCTGGGCGCTGGATCCCCGTACCACTGAGGGCAAGAGCGTTCTTAGAGCTGAGACCCCCGAGGGTACCGGGAACCAGGTCTCTGTCGAGTTCAACCTTATTTACAGGTGGCATTGCACCATTTCCCCCAAGGATGCCAAATGGACCGAAAAGGCGTTCCGCGAGCAGCTCCAGGTTAAGGGAGTAACCAAGGATGTCAAGGACTACACTCTCATGGAGTTCGGCCACGCTGTGAGGGACTGGGAGAGACGTATCAGTGATGACCCCGTCAAGCGCGACTTCGCCGGCCTGAAGCGTGGCAAGGATGGTGCGTTCCGCGAAGAGGATTTGGTCAAGATCTTCAAGGAGTCCGTCGAGGATGTTGCTGGTTCTTACGGCGCGAACAGAATACCCGAGATTATGAAGCCAATCGAGGTGCTCGGTATGATGAACGCGCGAAAGTGGAATGTTGCCACCCTCAACGAGTTCCGTGACCACTTCGGCCTCACCAGACACCCGACATTTGAGGACATCAACCCGGACCCCGAAGTCGTCAAGAAGCTGAGATATCTCTATGGCACTCCAGACCAGGTTGAACTGTACCCTGGATTGGTTGCTGAGAAGGCTAAGCAGCCCATGTCCCCCGGAAGTGGGTTGTGTGGCGGCTTCACCATGACTAGAGCGATCTTGTCTGATGCGGTTGCCCTGGTTCGTGGCGACCGATTCTACACCGTCGACTACACGCCGAAGAATCTGACCAACTGGGGGTACGTATTTCTGATTTCTGTTGCGCAGATGAATTCGAATAGCCACTAACTTTTGCATAGTTTCAACCAGTGTAGCTACGATCACAACGTTGACCAGAGCCATGTTCTGTACAAGCTGGTGTTCCGCGCTTTCCCCATCTCATTCGAGCAGAACAGCGTTTACGCCCATTTCCCTCTCACAGTGCCCTCCGAGAACAAGAAGATTCTCGAGGACATCAACAGAGCCTATCTCTACTCCTGGAAGGAGCCAGTCACCAAGCGCAACATGATTCCCATCTTCTCCCACAAGGCTGTCAGCGAGATTCTGTACAACCAGACAGACTTCAAAGTTGTCTGGGGCGATGCCATCCGTCACCTGGTCGCGCAGCCCGGCAAGGAGCACGGCAAGGACTTTTGTCTGGCTGGCGATGGCAAGGCCAACACACAGAACCGCACTCTCGTCAGGAAGGCTTTGATCACGGGTCCTTGGGAGAAGGAAGTGTTCAAGTGGTATACTCATATGACGCCTCGGTTGCTGGAGCAGAACAGTTTTGCCATTAGGAAGGGCGTCAGGGAGGTTGATCTTGTTCGGGACGTCATCAACCTGACAAACACACGATTCAATGCCGCCCTCTTCCACCTGCCCATCAAGAACGAGGACTCGCCACTGGGTGTTTACACTGACCAGGAATTGTATGTGGTTGTCGCCACCCTTTTCCAGTCTGTTTTTCTAGATGCGGACATTGGCAACAGCTTCAAGCTGCGGACGATTGCGCGAGAGCTCGGTCAAGGTTTGGGCAAGCTCATGAGCCTCATTTGCCTGACCATCTCCAAGGCCGGTTTGATCACGAATATTGTCGCCAAGATCAGAGAGGGAGAAGCCTCGCTTCCCACCTTTGGAAATCATCTCATTGAGCGCCTTCTTGCTGACGGCAAGGACATTGAAGAGGTCGTTTGGGGTACCATCATGCCAGTCGTCACCGCCAATGTTACGAACCAATCGCAAGTCATGGCTCTTTGCATCGACTACTACCTTGGAGAGGGTCACGACCACCTGAAGACTCTTTACAAGCTGGCTCATGAGGATACACCTGAGGCGGATGAGAAGTTGATGAAGTAGTAAGTCTAACCTAAACACTTCCTGCATGTTGGAAATTCCTCTAACGTTGTCTCAGCATGTTGGAGGGTTGCAGACTCCGCGGCACCGTTGCTGTTTACCGTGAGGCCGTTACTACCCAGGTCATTACCGACTACGCTCCTTGCCTCCTGGACCCCAATGACCCGACCTCGCGCACGCCCAAGATCAACGACGATATCGACGGCACCAAGTACGAAGTCAAGATCCCCAAGGGCCAAAAAGTCCTGTGCAACCTGATGACGGCCGGTCGCGACCCGACCATCTTTGAGGCCCCCAATGAAGTGCGTCTCGACCGCCCTCTCGAGTCGTACGTCCACTACGGTCTCGGCCCCCATTGGTGTGCTGGCAAGGAGATCAGCCGCGTGGCGCAGACGAGTCTGTTTAAGCAGATTGTTGGACTCAAGGGACTGAGGAGAGCCGACAAGACGCCTACTGGAAACGGAGGCCGTGGGAAGCTCAAGAACATGCCTGCCGGTGCCTGGCCCGGCCAGGTCGGTCTTCCTGTTGGCAGCAACCAGAACGGCGCCAGCAAGAAGGATGAGCCCTGGCTGGGTCTGCGCACCTTCATGACGGCCGATCAGAGCTCATACTGGCCTGTGCCGACGACGATGAGAATCGAGTGGGACGAGTAAGAAGGGAAATTGTTGACTTGATTTGTACGAAAAAAGGGTGTAGGATTATTCATGATGGAGTACTGTATGAGACTGGGTACCGATTACTTGGGTTTAATCAAAGATTCCTTAATTGGCTTTCCATCGTCGTGATCAGTTGCAAGTGAGTTAAGTTGACTTTGACCAGTGCCCGAAGAAACAAGGGACTAACGACAAGGAACAACTAAGCCTGTCTAATTCATAAATTCGGACGGAAACTTTTGGTTTAATAACAAAATCAGTACATAAAGCAGGCTGAGCACCATGAAAACCCCAGCACCGTAACCACTACTCGGCACCTACTCTGTAATGAGATAAGGAGTCACAGCGTAAAGTATCGTAGCCAGTTTCTCTACAAAAAGATCCATTTTTATTATATCATCTTAGACATGAGAGAGATACTTTCTTTTGCCCTTTGACAGACTCCTCCCAATAAGTCCCAATATTTTTGACCGCGCAGTCCAGCTGTGATGACTATGTGCCACTACCAATAAGAAGTACTTGCTAGGTACCTTGGGTTGGGGCGGCTGACTCTAGTTCGATTCTGGAAAGGGAGAGAACCTTATTTTTGGCTTTTTTTTACGACCGGTCATCTATGTGTTGGGCCGAACTCATTTCCTGCACGTCGCCGATAGCGGATTGATTAATGCCCGGACACGGCAGTACCAATATCTCTCTCAATTGGCAATGGTGTACGTATGTCTCTTGCCTATAAGTCTAATCAATTTATCGCAATCGAAAGATAATCTGTCTACAATTTTCATTACGACTAGCATCGTTAGCACTCAACGGAACGTTAGGGTGTCTTTACATGTACGTTGGTTGTCATGGACATACCAGCCGCAGCCAATGCCCTCGGCACACTTGGGGCAGTAAGTTCCCGTCGTCACTAGAGGTGAATAAGAAGTACTCACACTCTGCAGGTCTGCTGGTCTATTCAGGTGCGTTTCGGTCAGATTGAATTCTTTTGGATAGCGTCCTGACGGTCGGCCGTTGCGTAGCTTATTCCACAAATTGTCATCAATTACCGACGCCATAATGCTACCGGTCTGCAGCCTTCGATGATGATGCTCTGGGCGTGGGCCGGCGTTCCGTTGGGTGTCTACAATATCGTCGAGGACTTCAACATTGCCCTGCAGATCCAACCCCAGATCTTGACATTCCTAAGTCTCGCTACTTGGATCCAGTGCTTCTACTACCAAAGAGTAACATCTCCCATGCGATTCCTCACCTGAAATTGCCTTACTCACCTCGTTCATAGAAATGGTCTATCCTCCGCTCTCTCGCTGTCGTGGCCCCTATCGCAACCGTCATGGCCGGAATCCAAGTCGCCCTCGTCATTGGCCTCCGCATTGTCAAGGCCCGCGGCACAGATTGGCCCATGGTCCTCATGGCTTCCCTCTCCGCCGCCTTCCTGGCCGCCGGAGTACTCCGACACTACTGGGACATCTACCTTCACCGCACCGTTCGCGGCATCTCCTTCATCTTCGTCAGTATCGATGCCGCGGGCGACGTATACTCTCTCGCGTCCCTCTTTTTCCAGCGCCGGCTTGATATGTTGGGGGTCGTCATTTACGCGACTGAGTTTGTGCTCTGGTGCGGGGTGTTTGTGTGCGGAGGATACTTTAATTTGTTGCCCTGGGCGAGGAAGAGATTGCGGGCGAGGGAGGAGGCTGGGAGGTCGAGCGAGTTGGAGACGCCGGGCTCAGATGCTGTGGCTAACGGCATTGCTTTGCATGATTTGCCTTCTTCGACGTCCGTCTTCCGGACTGCGTCCGGAGACGATTCTGGGCTCCGATCTAGAACGGTGGCTTCGCTGTGAGCCCGGAGGAAGCCGACTAGACCATTTAATGCAACGTCTGCCGTGGAAAGTCGAGACCAAGGCAACTCTCCGCCACCTTCATAGGCGTAAGAGACGGTATCAACGCCATCGATGTCCCGGTGAAGCGCCGGCTTGGGGGAACACCAAATCCTAGCTTCTTCAACGAGGCCGTATCTGTATGGTTTGGCAAGAGATGTTGTAAACTAGTACTGGGGTTCTCAGCACAGGTACTTAATAGGTCGGTACTAGCTCTAAAAACATTGTATTATAGCTCTATAGTATTACTGGTTCCTGCAGTACATTGCATTTCCCTCAAGCAATCCCTATTTATTTTTCTATCTTGGGTTCTGTACCTAAACAGCGTGTATTATTCTACGAATCGAATGCTTGAGCCCCGACTTCCCAGGCCCATACGCTTCTTCTTGTGCCTTCTCATACCGGATGGAAGCGAATTCCGTTTCAAAGTCCATCTCGCCTACCGCAATCACTCGAGACTTGAGATAGAATTTGAAGAAGATGTACAGGACTGGTGACACAGCATTAGCCCATGACCACGGTGTTGAGGAAGGGAGCAGGCAACTCACTTGCAAAGATGAAGACATTGAGATAGCATGTCAAGAACCCCGAGGCGGTAAAGTTTCCGGTTGTGAAGACGTCGAAGCCTGAATGATGGTGTGAGTTGGGAATGACTCGAAATACTGCGGTGGTAACACGAATATTCGCGGAGGCTTACCTGAAAAGAAAACAACAAGAACAACCATCACTAAGGCCGCCCATGATATATAGGGCTGCCCAGAAACCTTGTATGGAAGCTCTAATTAAAGGTGTAAGCGTAGCATGCACAGTGAACGGTCATCACGAACAGTCTCTTACCATTTCTAGAGTAGCCTTGTGCCTTAAGCCCAGCGAAGAACCGAAGATACGTGATCTCAATCACGATCCAACTGATCAGACCGGCAACCGTTGTAATGTTGACGAACCATCCAAAGACGACAGAGGTGTTGTTGGCCACGTTGAGATAGACAAGCGGCATGAGGACGCAGGTCAACCCTACCGCGTAGTGAGGTGTCCCGAACCTGTTGCAGCGCTGAAGGACCCTAGGCGCGTGCCCATCGCAACTGAGACCGTAGAGGGTTCGAGACGCGATGAAGACGCAGGCGGAGCCGCTGCTAATGGCCGAAGTGCAGACCACGGCGTTGATGATTGACGGCAATACAGAGACACCGGAGCGGGTGAAGGCGATGACGAAGGGGGACTGCTGGGCGGTACCGGTCGAGATGCTGAGTGACGGGTCGTTGGATGGCCTTCTTTTCGTTAGACAAGTCCCTCAAGTAGTGTCCCTACACAGATACGAGTTTCTTACACAATCATTCCCACAATTAGAATGCTAAGAACATAAAAGAAGAATACGCGTAAGAAAGTCTTCCTCGTAGCCGCTGGGATGATTTTTCTCGGTTGCCGAGTCTCGGAGCCCGAAATAGCAACGACTTGAATATTGCCGTAGCTGAAAGCCGCCGAGAGCAAAACTTTCCAGAAAGCCAGAAAGTTACCAGATGGGCCGGTGACTAGATAGCTGTTGAAGGCGCCGGGGTCCTGCCAGTATCGGAAACCTATACGGTCACCATTGGGTCCGCCACCGAGATCAATGACTAGGCCGCCGATGATGAGGCCGATGATTGTCATGATCTTTAGAGAAGCGAACACAACTTCGGTCTGTTTGTCTTGTAAGTTGCAGAGCTCTTTGAGTTGAAGAGTGGTATCTTACTTCACCGTATAGCCGGACGCCGCAGAAGTTGACTGTGATGATAAAGACCAGAAAGATTGTGATCCAAACTCCTGGGTTTACGGAGGTATTCCAGAACTGAATCAAAGTTGCAGCGGCGCTGATTTCAGCAGGAACAGAGATCGACATGGTGTACCCTATTCTCAAGTCAGGACTATGCTTCAACTCTCAGCACTTACAAAGCTCATGGCTTTGCCCTTGAACTTACAAAAGTTCCAACCAGTGGCTGCACCGAGTGCAGGCTCAACAAACTTGGTCGCATGTCGAATGAAACCACCAGTCGACGGCATGAAGGACGTGATCTCCCCCGTCGTATACGAGACGCCGGCGGTGACGAGCCCCATAACGATGTAGGCCAAAAGTGCTCCGGCGGGGCCTGCAGTGGCTATGGTTGTACCAGAGCTCAAGAACAAGCCCGTTCCCTTGATCCAGTATCAGGCGACAAATCATCCCACCAAATGGTCGATACTGAGTAGACTCACAATCATTCCCGCAATTGCAATCATGTTAATATGCCGAGACTCCAAGTCGCGCCTGATCCCCTCACCATCTCCGGGGATAGAGGTGCTCTGGCCGGAGCCGGAGTCCACTTCGGGAGTTGCACCAATAGTGGTCTCGCCCTTTTCCTTTCCCTCCATGATGGAAGAGTTGAACAGAATGATAAGGATCTGTAGGGCTCAAATAGGATGGCCTCGTAAATCTATTGAAGTTCCAGGATGCATCTCGTTGCGACTTCTTCCGAGTAACAGGATGGGTTGATCAACATTATGAATGACACAAGTGTAAGCACCCAAAAGTCGGTCCTGATAACGCCCCCGGAGGTGCCATTCAGGGTCGTAGGATAGGCGCAACTCCGCAGCCAATCGGGCGCTGGGTCGCTGTCAACGATCGACTTTGAGTTGCCGGTGCTAGGATCAAGCTTCGGCTTGAGACGCCGGCCGGTTGATAAGCCCCGTTGCGCGTGAGTGCGGGGATAGAACGGCTTCAAAGATTGGATAAAAGCCTGGGGAACGCGATCCCTGACCTGACAGCTCTGTCACACGGCATCCAACGATAAGACTTTAGTAGGTCAAGCATCATGGCACCCATTTCTTCTTCAAGTCCCGAGGACGCCTTTCAGTTATTCGACCTGCGGGTCGAGGTCGTCTGTCCACCAGGCAAGAGGATTATGTGTGGTGCCAAAGAAGGGGATTACTTCACGCTGAAGGGTGAGATGTTGCATTTGCCACCAGATCAAGGCATCAGCATATACAGCTTATGTACGCGAATACCGACCCTATCTACTCCAGTGTCATAGTTGCTGATTCTCGAAAACAGCATCGGTGCTGCCCCTACTCGCTGCAAAGCAACGAGTAACTGCCAAGAACGACTGGATGACAACCGATGCGTTGATCGCATGCCCGGATCCCTGCTGTCCTTCCCAGCTGAAGATTGTCCGAGAAGGCATCAGAACGTTCCGTCACTCAGAGACTACTGCCGTTCCTTTGAGCAACGCCGATGCGCCCAAGTAGAAGTTTTACACAGACACACGTACTCAACCTCATCTTGGTCTTATCGATGTTCAAGCAAAAAATACACCATCTTGAGTATTGAAACCAGCTTCAGCCATGAGTCCAACCCAGGTCTCATCATCTGCAAAATCCAAACTCAGTGCGCCTTCCGCCTGGCCGAAAGCTCGACCTGAAGTTGCGGCATACCCGATCTCGCGTGTCGTGTCCCGCTCGCCAGCCCGAAGCTGGTCACGATGCTCAGGAAGATCTGTTACCGTCGACGCCTCGGCTGAGGGCTTGGAGATTCTAGCCAAGATGTTGTCGAGAAACCTTGACTGAAGTGCGCAACTCGAGCCCGACGGCGCAGCTTGCTGGGAGAAAACCAAGGCTGCACCCGAGATTGCACTTTGAATGGCTGGTTGAATTTGCCCGGCGATGGAATGGGACGTAGATAGCATGAGCTAGATTCCAGTCAGCCTTCAAATAAAGAAGAACAGTAGAAAGTTTCCCAATGGTCTAACCTTGATCAAGAATGCTGCACTATAGGCAGTCATCACATGAACAGAGTCTTGGGTAAAGTAAAGCCAAGAAGAGTGACGGCAGATGAGATGCAGCATCTCCAGGGCACTTGAGTAGCTAACCCAGAGAGCCTCCATATGGTAGGTCATGTTTGGATCCGACTGTGCTAAGATGTCCTGTAATGGCAAAGAGAACAGTTGTAACTTGAGATGTGTGCCATAGAACTGGATTAAAAAAGGATGGCAGCTGTCTAGTTGGAGGATTTAGCTAGCTAACTTTCACGGCTTGGGGTTTGAGCATACCTGTATCTGCGACGCTGAGCCACCTCGACTCCCACTCCTCGATTCTACTCTTGATGATTGCAAGGAGAGATTCGAGACTGTGTAGTTGTCTGGCGCGAACTCGACTTGACCTCGGTCCTAGTAGCCTGAAAACCTCTGAACTCAACAGTCGTAGTGTTACCAGCGCACCGAGCAGGCAATCACCAGGAGTAGCCATTGCATCTTTACACCATGGCTCAATAGACTCGATGAACTCACTTCGTTCAATCATCCACGGCTTTCCAGTTTGTAAGCTCATGCTACGCCCTATTAGCTCTTGAGCTACCATCTTCGCTCAGCCTTGATCTCCATCTTACCTTCGATCGTAAACAAAGAGAATCAGCCAGGTTCTTTCGATGTTCCTGGCTTGACGTCGCTCCAAGTCCATGACCGCGTTTGACTGCGGCGAATAAGGAGCCAGCCGATGCCAGCCCAATTCCATGCCCATCCTGATCACGTATCCCAGGAGCATCCAGGCACGTGTGTCTTCAGACTCTTTCCAATAGGTCAAGATCATCACCGCTTGGGCAGTCTCAACTGATTTGGTTCCTTTTCTGAACGTAGAGGCAAGGATACCTTCTGCATGGTCGCGGAGTCTCTTGTATAGAGCAGGATTAAATGCCTTTGCGGCTGCGGATAGGATTGCCGTGAGAAGGAATGAAGACTCCTGTCGGATCTGGCTGAAGGTGTGCAGGTACGGGTCCAATTGGCTTATGTATGGATTGAGAGATTCCATGAAACTATTCACAGGTTACTCTTGTCTTGTCGTGGCGAGAGCGGAAAGGGAGAAGCTAGAGACCAAGATGCTTCAAAGGGGCGGGGTGGAACAGGTTTGTGATAGGTGCGTTGGCATTCTTGGACTCACTTTTCGAACAGAGACGAGGCGATGGAAGAATTGAGGAGACCAAGTTGAATTGGATCATCTGCAGGGATCTGCGACTCTTCTTGCTGTGCCTCTGAAGTGGTCGATTCTGAAGCATTCAGTATGCTTCCAAGTGAGAAACTGCCTCGAGTGGCTGCACGACTGAACAGCCCAGCAGGCTGCAGGCTTCCATTGCTCCAGTCTGGACTTCGTTGAATTGCCTGCGTTAGTTCACTTCTCTCTTCAATCTGCCTTTGTTGTACCGACTGAGAAGAAGCGGCTGGTGCTGTCGAGACCTGGGCTTTGCGCTTGGGCGTGATTCTTGAACTGTTAATCGCTATAGCACTGTTTCTCCAGGTGGTACGCACCGAGTCCCTGGTTTTCTTCCACGGCGGTGATCTTGGAAAATGCACGTTAATGACTTCCGGGTACATCGATCGCAAACCGTTGCATCATCTGCGGTGATGCATTTCATCTTGACACTCCTGCATTGAAGGCACGCCTTGGAACTGATCGAAGGCATGTCTGTCAGTCGGCGCAGATGTTGCTGGCATCACAGACCGCTGCATCTTACACGGGCTTGAGAAATGGCGATGCTTGGGTGTGTTCCATTGTGCATGCTGCTTTACCCCTGCTTTACTGTGCTAGATCGCCGGCTACCATTCGTGAAGTCAACACTAAGGATGACCGGCAGTTGGACTCGATAAGGCTAAGGGATGGAATTCGCCGGCTTCGGGGGTGCTGAGAACCCTTTTCGGATTTCTTTCCCTATCTTCACCCACTTTTCTCCCCGCCGTTCCCTGTGGTGTGACGTGGGTAAAGATAACCGAGTAATGAGCCGGCAAGCTACCGTCAGAGTCATTGATCGCCGATGGCTACTGGTAGTTGAGATGAATGCCGGCGTATGCTGGCTCGGTATCAGGGTTCAGCTTGTCCCTGCAGCAGCAGCAGCATCGTCCATTTCGTTGGACACCGAAGAGAAGGCTTACATGGAAGCTGTCGAAATCGAAGACTGAAGATAGAACATAAATTTTGTCAAGAGACCTTCAGAAACACATAGTCACTCACCTTCCAGAATACAATACAAACGAAATGGCGGCAAAACCGGAGGGCCAAAGCGCCAAGACGGCGCACGTCAACATGATGACGGACACCATTATCACGAATCTCCCCGCTGCGAACCTACGGGTCATCATGCGCTCATTGTTGGCCGCGCACCCGGACGTCACCACAACTTTCGAGGCCGAAACCCGAACTTATGTCAGAGATGCAGCGTTGCTGTCAGCTCAAGGCGAGTTGTCTTCGGAAGCAACTTTGAGAAAGACTCAGGCAACAATTCGTTGCATGCTGGGATGCGGGCTCAGTCTTGAGAGCATTCCGCTCATGACCAGGGTGGTAAGGGGCGGCATTAAGCTTCTCGTCGATCCAGAGACTACCAAGGAGAAAACGCATGCTGTCTTGGCATCCGTGGATGGTGATATCGTCCAGATCATGACCGCCGTTGAGAAAAGGCTGCTAGCTGCTGCGCGCGAAAGTCTCCTAGACGATGAGCGCGACGCCGTGACCAATTTGCACGAGTCTCTTCTCGAGTGCAGAGCCACAATAGAAGAGAAAGGAATGGAATACCCCTATACGAGGGCACTTTTTGCGACTTCAATGCCTCTTGGAGTGCCACTTCCAGTCCTCGATATGCCTTTAATCGGTTCATCGGGCCTAAGCGCATCTCTTGCAGGCCCTGTGGATGCGAGGGAGACGTTTGAGATGAACGGCTTCAAATTGCCTAGATTATTCACCGGGCTTTGGCAAATGTCTAGTCCATCCTGGGGCTCAGCACCTACATCCAAAATCATTGCCCAGTTCTCCAAGCACATGGAAGTAGGTCTTACAGCCTTCGATATGGCGGACCACTACGGTGATGCGGAAATCATCTTTGTGAGTCTCATATTAATACCATTTCCCCCGAAAAGTGATACTAAATGAGTTAGGGTCGTTTTCGTTCGGCGTATCCCTTCAGCGACTCGACGTTCGCAGCGACCAAGTACTGTGTCTTCAACCCCATGATCGTTACACGTGCCGCCGTGCAAGCCAACGTAGCTGAAAGGTGCCGGAGATTACAGACAGATAAGATCGACCTGCTTCAATTTCATTGGCAATTCGTAAGTAGCCATATAGGCCTGCCCGGTATTTTGATGGTGACTAACTGAGGCCCCATGACAGTATGAGGACCCTCAATATGTGGAGGCGTTGCGATTTCTTGAAGAAGACTCGCGCGTCAAGGCTTTGGGGCTATGCAACTTCGATACTGAGCACATGCAAGTCGCCATCGATAAAGGCGTCAGAATACATTCAAATCAAGTACAGGTATACTGAACTCCCGCCGACTGAAAGGCTAAGGGGCTGAAACTGTTGGGCCCTAGTTTTCGTTGATCGATAGCAGGCCCGAGGTC